TTTTGGGAGACCCTGTATAACAGGTGTTAAAGAGGAAAATTATCCATCGACGGCTTTTAATGAAATTCGCTGTTACATTTAACGTTGCGAATCGAACGGGATTTCGGGTATATTGACCTTTTGCCGTTTGGTTATTTGATACTACGTTAACAAGCATGCGGAATAGTGTAAATATTACGCTGACCGCATTATAGTCTTTGTAATCGAATTACTTGGTGTGCCAGCTTTGATTGTCCTAACATACAATTATTTTAAATAACCTGTTATTGATCATTTAGAATTGTACGGCTTAGTATTGATAATTTCGTGATAACATTTTTAATCAAAACCCACCCGACAATCGAGGTACGCGGTAATTACCCGAAAGCAAGTGTGAACCGAAGATGGAAGCTTGCTAGTGGGGCGCTACCGCGTCCCTTATATGTATTCTTGTATCTCATATGTCTTATACGAATAATCACGTGTTGTCAATTAAAATGGATGTACTGTACGTACAGATACTATGAACGGATTTTTATCAATGGTACTTCTCTATTACTTGCTGAAACACCTTTTGAGGAAGGACTTTTCAATAGCACGTATCAATTATAACGCTGTCTTCGTGTAAAATGTTCCTATTACATAATACGGTCGGAATGTGATAAATCTATTTTTAGTTTTCTCCATCAGTCTTTGAGAGCTTATTAGAATCTTAAGGAATCCCAAAGAAACGACACTTCACCAATCCCGAACTAGAAAAGGCGATTCCACGAAGAATTATGATACTATCCCGTGGAACCATCCTGATCTCGCAGTAGAAGTAACAAAAAATGCAGAAGAAGTGGTTCTTGCCGCTTTGGTTGGCTCTTGGCCGATCCTGGGGAATAATGCAGGAAAACCGTTTCCTGTTCAAATTTTTGAAGTACTTACCTACAGAATTGTGTACAACTGAGCATCAGGCAAAATATATTAATTTTTAAAATACCCTGTAACACGTACTGATTGTTATTGATCGATAACCAATATCAGGTTGAAAAATTAACGAGCAAACTCTTTGAAAGCTCGATACAACTTGTTGGTTTGCGCGTTTGATCATTTTTAAAGGCGTGGAAAGGATGCCACGCGTAAAAACTTATAATAAACGATGGAAGAAAATGGAAAGTGATGGATAGAGTGAACGGATGACAGGTGGATGTTAAAGTGTTTCCCTCGTGATAAATAGCGTCGCAACAAAAGTGGGCCGGAAAAGTCTAATGAACACGCTATCAGATAGCTGCGTTAATAATAATGATGCCGCGCCGGGAACAATAGATGGGATGTTAAAAAGTGTGATGTTACAATTTAATGATGTACGTACATAAATTCAATTCGTAGTGAGGAAAATGGTGTTCTAACGCGACAGAGTCAAATCTGGAGGAAATTCTACAATCCAACCTTTACCAAGCTGTTACGAATTTGTTTAATGTCCCGCGAATACTACACATACCGTGTGCAGAAGATTCGAAATCATAAACAATTTGTATCTAACTCAATTTTTTGTATCATTCGTACTTTCTAAGATATTTGGAAATTACAATGTGACATTCCGTAATATACACGGTGTCTCTAAAGATTGGCAAATTTAGGGTTTAATCTACATGTAAAATGAAGTAGTTTGTTAGAAAACGTTTTGTTCCAAAATTAAAGGAATATTAGTATAAGGAAGGAAGAAATATTAATAAAATAGATAACTATACATTTTTTCAATTACCTTATCAATTTCAATTATTTCGATATGATATATTATAAACTATAAATAGTATAATATAATAAGTAGTATATATTTATACTATTTATGTATTAAACTAATCCATGTACTAAAGAGAATTCCGGTCGTTTATTTATTACAAATAATAGATGACGAATTACAATTTAATATCATCGATAAAATGTTTACTTGTTTAAGGGAAACTTGATTCGTTCCAAAGTTATGAAGTCTCTCGAACTCTTCGATACGTTATCAAGCCCATAAAAACTCATTACCTTTATATTATATTTCCGGTCATTCAAACTCACGATGGCGAGCGATCCGACCGGAATTACGTTACGGATCACGATATTTAGAGCAACGCATCAATCTCTCGTCGAGCTCGAAACGACCGATTCGGTTGCTCGCAAATCCATGTCATTGAGGTGGTCGGTGCGTTAAACGAAATTTATGTCTCCTCGAATAGGAGGCGATAGGATCGATCAATGTTGTCAAATAAAACTAGCCATTTTCCGTCTTATTATAATGTAAAACCATCATTGGTAACATAATAAGAATGCGCCGTCTCCTCCATCTTGAAGAGGTTTGGTTTTATAGTACTATTCCTTTTCTTGTGCCCGCTGTGTCAAATTCCGGTTTCGTCCCTTCTTCGTTGGTTATTACGGATTGTTGTTGCCCACATGCAGATTTACGTTTTCTGTAATTTTTAAACAATTTCTTAGTTGCTCTTGCATGTAACTTTTGTTTTAATCCTACATTTCGTCACAAGCGTGGCATACGGGAGCGGTAACGCACAAGGCGGTTGTCGCTCCCCTGGTTATCCGCTATACATATGTCCGCTCTGATTGGTCGTGGTTTTTCGTTAATAACTCGACAATCACGCATCGGACAACTTTTTTGCAAAGGAAAATATTGTTTAAAATCACCTCAGCTCCTCCCCATTTTCGAGCGTAGTATTAATTCTGAGACAGCCTGTATTTTAGAGCATGAGTAAGAACTTTGTTTCTAAATGTTGAATATAATATTTATGTACACCGACAAGCAAGTGAAAAATAATCATAAACTGAAGAAGAATAGCACAATAGAAGAAATATTATAAATGGGTATTTAAATATAAATTACTGTGTGACGGGGTATGTACGGGAATAGGAAGCAAAATACCATCATACTCGATGGTATAAAAAAGTCGTCAAAAGGGTTGGGGCAGTAAGTCACGGATAACAGTCGCACGGGTCGCATAAATCAAAAACACCGGACTCTCGAATACTAGAAGTGTCGAGGCCGGCAGGTCGGACCGTCAATAGAATGCAAAATCGGGGAAATAAAGTTAAAGATAAACCGCTCTCTCGAATTTGCGCGGAGAGTACTTGCGCGCTGAGTCCACCGGCGAGGTGGAGGCACGCCGTAAAATTTATGTGAAAAATATTAAAGTCGGCTTCCCTACTGTTCGGATCTCGGAGTTTCCACTGTTTTCCACGCTGTGCCAACTTGTTCGACTTCTCTATATTTTTTTTCCGATCCTCCTCATCACGCTTTTCCTTCCCTCTTCATTCCTTTCTTCATCCCTGTCTGCTTTTCTTTATATCAGAATAAATTGTATCGTAGGCTACGGACTCTAGGTTATTTTGCAATTTTCAGTGACCATTGTTTTGAATATGTATCCTCTCGTGGACTTAAAGATCTTCATCGAAGACTAAAATCGAGTAGAGAGTAGGATATCGATTACTAATATTTTGCATATTTTGTTGGATGTTTTTGAATATTGCTAAGGAATAGAAGTGGCATAAAACGATGGAGATAGAAAATAATAATTAAACTTTAAGTG